TTCTAGTGAAGAGAGAAAGAGAGAATAATAAAGGAAATATGGATTTGTATTATTCAAGTGTACAAATAATGATACACACTATGACTATTTATATACAACCCTAATTGGGCTTGGGCTAACACAACTTGGATTATATTAAATATTAAATCTAATCAAATCTAATCTAATCTAATTTAATATTTCAACACACCTCCATAATCCAAGTTGTCGAACATCCTCAAAAATAGTCAATCTGAACTATTCCTAATTTCTTTATCAAATTCAGGAATCTGTCAATCTTCAATCCTTTGGTGAAAATGTCGGCCAACTGTGCTTCACTTGAGCAATGCCTGACTTCAGGTTCACCTTGATTTACTTTTTCCCTCAAGAAGTGAAACCTTTCTTCAATATGTTTTCTTCTTCCATGCAGAGCTGGATTTTTTGCCAGATTTATGGCTGACTTGTTGGCGATTTGCAATACTAGAGGTTTCTTCACTTCGACAGTCATTTCTTCTAGTACAGATCTGATCCAAATTTGCTTGACATGTAGCATAGGATCCCTCTATATATTCATCTTCACACGATGAAAATGCCACCACAGGTTGCTTCTTCGAACACCATGAGATTGGGGCACCAAATACTTGAAAGAAATATCCAGTTGTGCTTCTTCGATCTTCCTTATCTCCACACCAATCAGCATCTGAAAAACAATTAACTATTGCTTCTTTGCCTTCAGAATCTCGTCGAAATAGTATTCTACAATTTATTGAACCCTTCAAATATCGAAGGATTATTCTTGCAGCCTTCATATGTGACACTCTTGGTTCACCCATATATCTGCTTACTAATCCGACTGCGAAACCTATATCAGGCTGACTATTGCACACATACCTCAGAGATCCCACAATTTGCTTGAACAAAGTGCATCGACTTTGTCTTCCTCTCCATTCTTCTCCAACATCACATTTGGTTTCACAGGTGAGGATGCAGGATTCGAATCATCCATTCTGAATCTCTTGAGTATTTCTTTGACATACTTTCTTTGATGTAGCACCATACCTTGCTTCGACATTTGAAATTCCATGCCTAGAAAATAAGACAATTTTCCTAGATCCGACATTTCAAATTCCTTCGTCATCAGCTCTTTGAACTTTGACAAGTTCTCCAAACTATTTCCAGTTACTAGCAAGTCATCAACATACAAGCAGATGATTGTTATATCTTGTTCTACAACCTGAACATAGACACCATACTCTGATTTGCATTTGACAAATCCTAATTCGACTAAGTATGAGTTGATCTTCTTGTTCCATGCCCTAGGTGCCTGCTTGAGGCCATAGAGCGCTTTGTGCAATCTATATACTTTACTCACTTCCTTCTGAATCACAAACCCATGAGGTTGTGTGGCATAAACTTCTTAGTCTAAAGGACCATTCAAAAATGTTGATTTCACATCTAGATGAAATGTTGACCAGCCTTGGTTGCATGCCAATGCTACTACTAGCTGAACAGTCTTTAATCTTGCTACTGGAGCAAATACTTCAGAGTAGTCAAGTCCTTCTCTTTGAAGAAAACCTCGAGCTACTAATCTTGCTTTATGTCTTGCTATTGACCCATTTGCATTGTGTTTCAACTTGAACACCCACTTTACTTTGATGGCTTTGTATGTGTTGGCAATTCGACTAACTCCCATGTGTTGTTTCTTTCGATTTCCTGTAACTCTTCGACCATAGCTAACTTCCACTTGTTAATCTTTAAAGATTCGTTATAGTTGATTGGTTCAGCACCTGCAAGTAAAGACAAATGAACTAATTCTCCATCTGGTGTGATTTCATCATCACCCATCACTTCATAATCATGAAGTCTTGTTGGAAGAACTCTATTTCTTTGAGGTCTTTGGCTTGTTTCAGCCACAACCTCTTCGACTTCGACTGTGACGGGAGTGTCAGCAACCGCTTCTTCTTCGACTTTGACTGGATTCTCAACAATTCCTTTGACCTCTACTTCATTAGTTTCTTTGTCGAAATCAAAGTTCATTAATGATTTGTTAATTGAATTTCTAGAATTCCAATCCCAGGCAGAATTTTCGTTAATCACAATATCTCGACTCAACATAATTTTTTCATTAACTGGATTGAATAGTCTGTATGCACCAGTTTTATGATATTCTACCAGAATCATAGGTTCACTCTTGTCATCAAGCTTCCTTCCCCTTGCATCAGGAACATGCTTGTAACACATAGAGCCAAACACCTTCAAGTGACTTACTGATGGTCGTTTGCCACTCCACACTTCTTCAGGAACCTTGTTCTTCAATATCTTAGTAGGACACCTATTCAAAATATAAACTGCAATCAAAACAACTTCTCCCTATAAAGATTCTGGCAAATTCTTTTGCTTCAGCATGCATCTTGCCATATCTAATATGGTTCTATTTCTTCTTTCAGCAATTTCATTATGTTGAAGTGTGTAAGGAGCAGTTACCTCATGATCAACACCATGTTCTGCACAGAAATCTTCAAACATCTTGGATGTGTATTCGCCACCTCCATCTGTTCGTAGAACTTTGATCTTCTTCTCACTCTGGTTTTCGACAAGTATCTTGAATCTCTTAAAGATTTCGAATACTTCTTCCTTTCATTTGATCACATAGATCCACAGCTTTTGAATAAACTCATTAACAAATGAAACAAAATATATGTTTACACCCATTGTATGTTCTTCAAATGGACCACATACATCTGAATGCACCAGTTCGAGAATGCAGGATGATCTCATTGACATAGTCGAAAGGAAAGAATTTCTGGATTGCTTTCCCACTAAACAACCTTCACAATGTTTTCCAGGCATCTCAAGACTTGGAATACCAGTAACATAATCTTGAATAATCATTTGATTAAGTGATCGAAAATTCAAATGTCCAAACCTCAAATGCCACAACCAACTATCCTTGTGGTCGACAACAATTTTCAAACATTGAACTTCTGTCGAACTGATCATAGTCTTAAATATCTTGTTCTTCGATAATGGAGATTTTAATACCAAATTGTTCTTAGTGTCGAACAATTTCAAAACTCCATATTTCATGACAACTGAGAAACCTTTTTCAACTAGTTGTCCAACACTTAACAAGTTGCATTTCATTCTAGGTACATATAGCACATCTTTTATCATATCTTTCCCTCCATTACTCATTTGAAAGACTATGTTTCCAGTACCTTCTGCTTGCAACAAACTATTATCAGCAAGTTTTACCTTGCTCTTCTTCGACTCGTCAAAATCTACCAACCACTCCTTTCGACCAGTCATGTGGTTCGAGCAACCTGAGTCAAGAAACCAGATATTAGATTCAACATGGTTATCTGCAACTGCAGCCATAACCATCATACCACCTTCAGAATCATCTGAATCTTGGCGTGCAAGGTTCGCTCCTTCGTCCTTGCCTTTCGATCCCTTGTCTTTTCTATACCAACAATTCTTGGCCAAGTGTCCCCACTTTTCACAGTTATAACACTGCATACCTTTCTTATCTTCTTTGTCCTTTCAATAGTTTCCTCATCCCCTTTTCGAGGATTCAGAAGATTTATCTTCGACCTTATTCTTATGGGAATTCGACCAAGACTTCTTGTCATGAGTCTTGTCGAACTTGCCTTTGAATTTGTTGGAACCACCATCTTTTTTCGATGATTGAGCTTGCAGTGCCTGTATCGAGTCCTGAACTCCTTTCCTTTCGACAATCTTCATCTCATGCGCCTCCAACGAACCAACCAAATCTTCCACTTTAGTGGTTTCAAGATTGTTGGATTCTTGAATAGCTACGATAACATGATCAAAGTGAGAGGTCAACATTCTCATTACCTTCTCAACTATCATCTTATCAGTAATGGTTTCACCACAACCCTTCATGAGATGGACGAGTTTCTGAACCTTCGACACATATTCTGCAACTTTTTCATCTTCTCCCATCGACACATATTCTGCAACTTTTTCATCTTCTCCCATCGACAATAACTCATATTGTTGATGCAAGGTTTGTAATTTGACAACCTTGACTTTCTCACCTCCTTCGAAATACTTTACCAGAATATCCCATGCCTTCTTCGCTGTTTCAGCATGAGAGATTTTGTCGAAGTTAGCAGCATCGACAGCCGTTTGAATGCAATAAGCAGTCTTGCAATCTTTTTTCTTGACTTTGTTGTGGGCTTTTTTCTGTTCGTCAGTTGCATTTGTAGCCAATGCCATAACGTCATTGATAACCACTTCTAGGGTTTCATGGAAGCCAAATAAGGATTGCATCTGTTTTTTCCATCAAATCCAATTTTTACCGTCAAGCATTGTAAGAGAATTTGGAATGCCCTTATCACTAGCCATCTTCGCAGCGGTTGATTTAGTTGTCCTAGACAAACGAACTCTGACGTGAAATTCTTGAAAACTTGATCAAGAACAATAATCGGAAGCTCTGGATACCAATTTGTTAGTGCGTGAGGCACTTTTAGTGAGGAGGCAAAGAGAGAATAATAAAGGAAATAAGAATTTGTATTATTCAAGTGTACAAATAATGATACACACTATGACTATTTATATACAACCTTAATTGGATTTGGACTAACACAACTTAGATTATATTAAATATTAAATCTAATCAAATCAAATCTAATCTAATTTAATATGAATTTGGGAAACAAATCACTTATGCAGAGAGAATTTGTTTTCTTGGAATTATTTGTATAAACACGTGATTTTCAATATAATAAAGCGAAAAAATTATTGTCTTTGGTAATATGACTTTAATAGCTTGTTAGAGAGAACTATACAAGTGAACAGATATAAATCTCAATGCCTTTCCTCTTTTCCATTAATTTGTTTACTTAATTAGTTTTGATTTGTGATGTTATGAATAAGAAAATTGACGTTTTCATTTACATCCTAAATTGTGAGCTTTTGACACATTACATCCTCTCACAAAAATCAAACAAAATAACACAATTTATACTCAATGCAATACATTATACATATCAAATTCAAAATCTAGCTTTATTAGAAGCATTGCCTATAATTCTTCCTGAAATAGCATTAGCAAGTGCTGTAGTGAAATTGGGATCATTAGTCAAAGAAGTAGCCATTTGTTGAACCAAAAATTGTTGGATAGATGATTTTGGAACATTGTCAACCAAATTAAGTCTCATGGTTGGAGAAGTCATTTCCATAATTTGTTTAGGTGAAGAAACATGAACTGAACCTAAACGGGCTTCTTCACATTGGCTTGATATCATTGATATTTCAGCTTTTTCATGATCATGGTTGTGCTCTCCTTCATATGTTGCAACTAGTATAGTTGGGTCTTCTAAACTTTTTTGCACCTAAATTATAATGATATATAAGAGTAAAAACAATATTGATTTTTGGGCATAAACCAACCAAAATGTAGATACTAACTCATATGAGTTGGGTGAAAATACATCGGTAAAATTATTCTGCAAAATTTTTATCATTATTGTATTTTAGGTTTAAATTCGAATGCGAGAAACAATAGTTTGAGTCCAGCGAAAATACACTAGACAGTAAAATTATTCTGCAAAATTTTTATGGTTATTGTATTTTTTTTAGGTTTAAATTCGAATGCGAGAAACAAAAATCTAAGTCTAACAATTGTTCTATGAAATTTTTATCGGTGTTGTATTTTTAGGGTTAAATTCGAATGCAATAGACCAGAATCTCTGATCAAATTAAATAAAAATTGAATTTTTGATTAAATTAAACAAAATTTGAATCGTTTTCTTTGATGGTTCATGAGTTAATACAAGATTACCTTAAAATTATGAGTAAAAAAAAAATCTCAACTCAAAATCCAAGAGGTTTAGTGTAAACAAAAAACATTACTTATTAATCAAATTTTGCATTATTACCTTCTTTTTAACCGGGCAATTTGGAGCTTTGGAGCATCTAAAGTAAGCTCTAGGAGAAGGATTATCTCTAGTAACCTTCTGACCATATTTCCTCCATTGATATCCATCCATCACATACTTTACACCAAAAAAATACAAAAATCAAAGATTAGACACAAAATTTGAAGTGATTAGAAAAGTTAAACTAATAATCAAACTCATAAGTTATACTTACCAAGCTATTACTAGATGCTTCTGTCTTCACAAGAACCTTATAAGCCTTTGGTGATGAAACATCTCTACAAGGTCTTTTCATCAATGATTCTTCATCACTAACATTGCTGCACTCTCTAACACCACCAAACATATTCATGCAACTTTCACTCTCAAATTTTCTCTTCCTTTGTGTTTGGTTTTCAAGATTTTGTTTCATTATCAATTGACTCAATTGCTTTTGCATAGCTTCATAACTCTCACACATGTTTGTCAATGTTTCACTTAGTCTTCTGTTCTCGCAACTCAGACGTTGTAACTCTTCGACCAAAACTTCGTCCTGAGTTCGAAAATTTACATCGTCCAAGTTAGAAATTTAAGGATATATATATATGTATGAAATAACTAAAAAGTATTGATTATATATATGTGTAAGAAACGAACCTTGTATGTGTAAGGAAGATTGAGGTTGCTAAGATTGAGTGAAGTATCGATGCACGTTGACTCCATTGCTATTTTGTGAAAGGAATTGAAATGTTTAGGAGAAACTTTGTGGAGATATATAGTTGTGAAAGATGGAATAGTCTCAAGGGAAGGAAAATTGGTGGAAATGAGAGTGAAACATAACAACCTCAAAATGATGTCATGTTGTTTCGTCACTTGCCATATGTGCCGTATATAAGCGCGTAGAGAGAAATTAAGCATAGAAATTAAATGCTTTCTCTCTCTCTCTTCTTATTATAATTATTGAAGATTAAAATATAGATGATTTTTTTAAAACAAATTTTTATGAAAAATTATTTAAAATAGTTTTAAAATTATATGATTTTTTAAATTTTTGATATCTAAATTTTTTCAGTAAAACATTAAAATATTTAAAATAATATTTTTAAAAATAACTATTCAAAAAAAATTTTATTTAAAGTTTTTATGAAAAAAAAATTTATAATTTTTTTTATAAAATTGTGTAGAACTATAAAAATCACTTTTAAAAACTTCAGAGATTAAAAAATTATACCAATAAATTTATAAACATTGTATAATATTTTTATAATTAAAATATCTATTTTTTATGATTAATAATATGATTAGAGAGAAAAAATAAACTTGTATTTTAAAATATAAATTTAACCGAAATATTGTTAGCAATAAACTATTAGTGTATCATAACAGAGAACAGTGGTTAGTCCTACCTAATAATTTGTGTCTACTTTTTTCTTCTTCATATTATTATGTATGTTGGGGGGCTAGAGACAGACTTAGACTTATTATTTATGAGTAGAGATTTTTTTCCATTTTGTAAAAGAAAGAGATAGTTCGATTACCATAGTTTTATGTGTATAAATATGTGTATAAAGTCAAATAATTATTAAATATATGTGACATGTTTTAAGAATGTATCATAGAAAAAAAATAAAAAGACCATAAAATTGATTAGTCTATACTTTATTTCTATCGAAAAACATATACTCCCTCCGGTCCTTTTTATAAGGAACACTTTGAAAAAATCACACAAACCAAGGAAGCTAATTCTTTTATTAATAATTTTAAAAATGATTATTTCATTCCAAAACTAACCTTCAAATATTAATCATAGTCATTATTATTCTTGTCTCTTGTAATTATCAATACACCACTATGCTTAATTCCAATAATATCTTTTGCTATTCACAAGAAGAGTTATGTTAATTACCACACATATTACTCCATTGCTACTCAAGCTTCACGTTGGATTTAATTTCAGAAAAACAAAACTTTTGTTAATTTGGCTTTCCCACCATTTTATATTAGCAATTTACCTCCAAATTTTTAGCAAGTAAACTTTTGAAATTTCAAAGGTTAAATATTATTTCAAGCAACAATGATTCTTTTTCAATTGAAAATGGTGAGTAATTATTTCAAATAATAGTAGTGACACTATCATTTTATTTTCTTTTCTTATTTTAATTTTCTTTCGTATTTTTTTGAATTACAAGTGTATTATGAGTAGCATGAAATTATAAAAAGTAGGTTGAAATTATGTACAGTAGCATGAAATACATATATGCAAATTATCATGTTTATGGATGAAAATACATGCATGAAATTATACTATTTGTAGGCAAAATTATCACCTTTAATTGATTCTTTAACTCTTCCATCACATTTTTATCATTTGTGCAGACTCATTGACAAGTGAAATCAATTCAAGAAAACGGGGATTTCTAACTAATGAACAAAGGAAGGCTATATATCATATACTGTTGAGTTTGAGTCCGGATGGGAAGTCACATAAATATGGAGTAATACCACGAATAGCTGCACTATACAATGTTCATAGAAGTGTCATTTACCGTATATGGAATCAAGTAAAGGACACAGGTAATGTTTGTCATAGAAAAACATTGTGTGGAAGGAAAAGGGTCCAATTGGACTTTGAGAGAATGCGTCAAGTACCGTTATCAAAACGATCAACCTATCGAGCTCTATCTAATGCTCTTAACATTCCTAAGACTTCATTGATAAGGTTGCAAAAGTCAGGAGTTATACGACGTCATTCAAGTACGCTTAAGCCGTATTTAAAAGAGGATAACATGATTAATCGTTTAAGGTTTTGTAAGGATATGCTTGATAGTAACAGCTTGCCTCATGATCCAAAGTTTATTTCTATGCATAATATTGTTTTCATCGATGAAAAATGGTTTTATATTACCAAAACCAAAAACAATTATTACTTGCTTTCGGATGAAGAAGAGCCATATAGAACATGCAAAAGCAAGAACTTTATTGGTAAGCTTATGTTCTTAGCTGCTGTGGCTAGACCTAGGTTTGACGATGAAAAGAATGTGACGTTCTCAGGGAAGATTGGTATATTTCCATTTGTGTATGAACAACCAGCTAGAAGAAGTAGTGTCAATAGAGTAGCAGGGACATTAGAAAGGAAACCTATAACTTCGGTTACAAGAGAGGTGAATAAATCTTTCTTAATAAGTAAAGTCCTATCAGCCATTAAGAGTATGTGGCCAAGAGAAGATGTAGGGAAGATAATCTACATTCAGCAAGATAATGCAAGGTCACATATTTCTACAAATGATCCCAATTTTTGTAGAGCAGCAAGTGAAGATGGGTTTGACATTCAAATGACTTGCCAACCACCAAATTCACCGGATTTGAATGTATTGGACTTAGGCTTTTTCAATGCCATACAGTCTTTGCAGCAACAAGAAGCGGTGAATTCAATTGACGAACTTATTGATGCGGTGCAAAAAGCATTTGATGATTTTTCCTGTCAACAATCTGATAAAAAAATTTCTACTCTTCAATCATGCATGATTGAGATAATGAAGATCAAGGGATCAAACAAGTACAAAATTCCTCACATGAAGAAAGACATGATGTATAACCAAGGTTGTATACGTACTCAATTAAGTTGTGATTCTTTGTTAATTCAAGAAGTCACTGAATATCTTCAAAGTTTTGATGATTAATTAGCAGGTGTTTGTTTTGTAATTTTCAGAATTTTTGATTGGATGAAAATGAAATGTTTTGATTCATTATATTGTTACTTTCAGAGCTACTTGAGAGCTACTTTCAGAATCTTTGTTTTAATTTATATTGCCTCTTGAGAGCTACTTTCAGAATTTTCTATAATTTTAACTAAAATGTTTTAAAGTCTCCAAACTAGATAACTTGTTCAAACAAAAAATAAATGACCATGAAAACAACACAATGGATAAATAGCCTAAAATCAAATGCAAATGTAACCTCCTAAGATTTAACTAAACAGAATAATTTTGCAAGTGGTTTTTTTGTTGTATATGAATGTACTAATTAACTCCACAAAACTTTACCAAAGTTACTTGTAGTAGCAGTAACATAAGACTTTATGTATTGCCTTGGAGTATAATTTTATCGTTACAGTGGCGCCGAGGTTGCGTATTGACATTTCAATTTCCATATCCATAAAATGAAAAGGATTTATCAATATCCATAAAATTTCCATATTTCAAAAACAAAATATCCATAACATCTCTTTTCAACTAAACTCGATGAAAATAAATTCGCAGAACATTCATAACCTCATCCTTCACAGCTTCACGTTCAAGGCTGAAAGGTTCTTCTTCCTCTGCATCTTTGTTAAGTTCTTCCTCTGCATCTTTGTTAATTTCATGAAGATTATCAATCATGTCCAAGGAACCAGAAGTTGAGTGAGAACCATCTCTAGAATTTACCTCTGTAATTTCTTTTGCATCTTTCTCATTCCATATTTGCATCTTCCTTCTAATGATTGGTTGTCTACCTTCATCCTCACCCTCGATATCAGATTCCTCAACAATCTCTTCAACAGTTGTAGTAGAATCAAGTGAATGTTCAATAGTCTCACTTTCCACTTCAAAAGAATCTTCAATATCTGGAAACTTGTTCAAATCAATATGAAATTTCCGTTTCCCAGCAGAAGACTTAAATCCATCTTCATTAGAGTTATGAGATTCCATGTGTATGCTAATGTGAGAAACAATAGAATATTATAGTGAAGAAAAAGAAAACGTGAATATATTGAATTTAGGTAGTGCCTGTTTGTGTGCTTGCAACTTTCCCTCCAAATTTTTGCATGGGGAGTATGTTTATGTAACTAATGCATTTACATTGAAAAGTGTTATCTAATTTTATTTAATAAGGGTAGAAATGGAATTATGTATTTAATAAAATTTAAATTTAAAGAGTGTTTCTTATACAAAGGACCAATTTTTTTTTGCAAAGTGTTCCTTATAAAAAGGACCGGAGGGAGTATAATATTATAGACAATCACGTTTTTTTTTTTGATAAGCAGATAATCACGCTATTGATTATCTCAATTTAAAAATTTTATAATTCATAGTGACGATACTTTTAAATATTTGCTTCTTTTATGGCTTCAATAATATAGTTAAATTTTATGTGAGTTTTGAAAATTGAATCTGATTAATTATATTTCTTTTTGTTAAATGTACGGACATTATTAAAATGTACAATAAATTTTAAAGTTAGAATTGTTGAGTGAAAATACGTAATTCATTCAATAATTTTAACCGGTTAAGACGGGGTGTAATCGGTTATAAGTTGGTAGAAAAGTACTTTTAGACAAGAAAAAAGTTTGTTTGGTGTTGGTGTTAACCAGTTACGCATACGCGTTAATCGGGTACAATTGTTTGTATATTTTTTTAGTTTTGTCAATTGTAGTCGGTTAATCATTTGTGTTAACCGATTACAGTCCCAAATTTTAGTTTTTTCTTGTATTTTGTTGATGTGTTTTAGGTATCAATCATTTTGTAACACTTGTATAAATGTCTTGGAGGCATCTTCATCATTGAGTAATGCAAATTATCATTCTCACGCTCAATTATCTCTTTATCTGTCTAATTCTCTTCTCTCTCAGTACCTTTTTCTCCACATACTTCATAGTTTACCAATTATGTGATTATATATTCCAACTTTTGGCATCAAGAGACTGGTTTTGATCTATAAGCATTCGTTGTACAACATGAATATTG